CAAACCATGTCTCGTAACTATGAATCGTTTTTCGTATACAAATACAATGATACTATATCGTTGAATTCAAATTTAATACCATCCATTATACAGTGAACCATTTGAAAGGGCGGAATTTTGTCATGTTTGTGGGGGGTTATTGAAACATTTACCCTCAAACCCCCCCACCCACCAAAAAAAAAAAATTAATTTAGTTTATATTATAAAAACCTCTTAGTCCAACCATTGTGATCTGTAATCTGTATAATATAACTTATAAGCACCGTCAAATGGGTCAACTTGGGTGAGTTTTGAAATTCTATTGTAAATAACTTTAAGATTAATTAATCTAGAATTATTTTCAATGTAACATTTTTTTTTAGTTTAAGTTTGATTTATTAATTTCTGTTGCATTTGAACCATACAAATTATTCCTTCTATGTTATTTTGTATTTTTCTGCATGCCCCATGTTGTACTGAATTTCGACAACATGGGGCACTCATAACAAAAAAAGAATCAGCCAAATCGGTGTTTCCGAATTGCGGACAAAGTGACAAAAACCATGTGAGTTGCGGACGAAATCTAAAAAGGTAACATACGAATTGTGGACACAAATAATATAAGATACTAATTGCGGATAATGTTACAATACTCACGTGGTGAAATCAGTAGAATATCATAAATACAGGCTGTTTTAAAAACTATGACGATAATTAATAATGACGATAATCTATAAATATTTTATAAACAATTTTTTCCACAAAACTAAAACAATCAATAATTCAACAACATTTGGAAAATAACGATTGCTCTTTTGCAAGACACAAATATTTTTAACCTCACCTACCAATTTTTTTTTTAGCCATTGTCATAAGTCCTGAAAAAGTGGTGAAGGGAAATATTTGTGTCCAAAACTAACGTAGTTTTTATTAAAAAAAGCTCTGTACGCAATTAGTATTATGACAACGAAACTCGTGTCCGCAATTGTTATATTATAATTCCTAACCTGAATAATTCGTCCGCAACTAGTATGTGCCCAGCCAAATCGGTCAAGCCGTTTCGGAGCAAACCCGTGACACAAAATCTGGACTTGCTTTTATAGTATAGATTAGTACCTATAAATAATAAGTACATGAATATGGTTCGTTAGTTTAAAAAAATGCATGGTGAGGGGGGGGACACCCAAATCTCCCATCCCCCCTTGAAATTACATCACTGTTGTAACCTAGTGTACAGCAGAGCGAAATCCACTTACCCACCTTTTTTTATTTTGATATCAACAATAGTATGTTATTAGGAATTAATAGGTATTCTCAGTGGCGCAACTAGGGCTGAAATGTTGGGGGGGGGCTAAAGCCCCCATCTAGCATTACATGAAAAGTAACCCGTGGGGGCGATGTTCACTCAAAAATATAAAAAAATCATATAAACAAATTCAATTATTTATTTACTCAATTATTTAATTATACCGTATTTTTTAATATTTATAATATAATTTTCAAACATTAACAATAATATTTTTTGCTTAACCTTTATATTATATATTATAATATATCCCCGAAATAAAATATTACGTTTCCTAATAATATTTTAACGATATGTAAAAAATAATTATTATTATTAGAAGTAGATTTTACAAGGTTTATTTAATATAATTAGATACAATATTTAAAAGATTATAAAATAAAAATATTTCGGATGATCGATACATCAAATAAAATAAATTATTATTAAACAAATAGTTAATGAATGCAGGAACCTAATCAGTTATCTTTTATTAGAACTATTAACATATGTTGTTTCACATCGTGATATAAAACAAAACAATATTATTGTTAATTTTTGAATATTATTTATTATATATTAATTATTTTAATGAAAAGTATACCTATATTATATAAGTATAATAATAATATATTTGTAATTAAATATTAATAATGTAATAAGTACACCAAGGTTTTAAAAATGTCATGTGGTTGTCAGTAATATTGTAGTCCAGGGGTTATTTTTCCTAGGGTCGGGGATTTTTTTCCGGGAATTTTTATTCTGCTATTACTTATCTCTATGTTATAGTTTAGCTTTAGTGCATAGGTGTACTGTAAAATTATGTGTAATAATCTTACTAAATACAAAATAATTTATATCATACCGTCATACTTTAGGTACAGCTTATAATATTTACCATATTTATCATATGCAATATAAAAAAAGTTTAAATTAAAATTATAAAAATTAAACAATTAGGTACATTTTTTTCCAAAAAAAAAAATAAGAAATACAGTTTAATTTTTGAAGTTTTGTTAATATTTTAGGAAAGAATTGAATAATTTATTTTGAGGGGGCTATTACAAGTTTTGGGAGGGCTAATCCCCCCAGCCCCCCTAGTTGCGCTTATGGGTATTATAAGTTACAACAAGAAGTTGTATTTAGCTTTTTATAGGTAGTGCGGTGTGGGTAAAGTTGATAATCAATGATGTCATTCCAGAAAGATCAAATAAATTGTAACAATAGATAATACTTCCTTAAAAATAAAAATAATGGACTAGGTATACATAACATTATGTTTTATTTATGAATTATGAGTACAGCCCGGTACAGGAACAGCGTAGGATATTCTTAATAGAAAACACTCATTATCTCTAAAAGCTTATAACTATAATAAATTTCGATACACGAAATTCGATTTTTCTAATATTCCGAAAAATGTTTTGCCTAGGAATTTAATATTATTATTAAATAATAATATTCTAACCACTAATTTTTCTCTATCAAATAATTAACGTTTTTATCAAACCATCTCAGGGTTTTAATATAAACGACTTTACCCTCATTCCCAACCTAACCAGTGGCGGTTTTTAGGGGCGCTCACCCTCCCTTGGATTCTTTTTGCATGTCCTTTTTATAATTGAAATTTCACTAAATGCTTGAATTGCTTTAATTATGATGGGGGGGGGGGAGCCCAAAAATTGAAAATAGCCCCTCTTGATGTTTTATCAAAACCGCCACTAAACCTAACCGATAACATCGCACATATATATTGTCAAGCTTTCAAGCTCCTAAGCTTCATTCTCTGTAGGTACTACTGTACTTTCTAATATGTTCCGTCAACACTCAACATCGCCTTTCAAGTCACTCGAAGTTGAAGATCGAAGTCTTTTTTTTGCTATAAAACGTGTAGACAGACACAAAATAATATATCAATGTACAACCGATACAATCATCGCTTCACTCGAAATGTAAATTCGAAAACCTCTAGGAATTTGTAATAATGACAGGTCATAAATATCGTATTATAAACACAATAAGTAATAACTGAATAATACAATATGATAAATTATATATTATAATGGCCACGAGAGAAACAAAACGGTTAGCTACAATAATATTATAACTATTATATGGGATAAAAAAAAAATTATAACATTAATCACGTTGTAAGTATCAAGTATGTACAAATGTACAATGTACATATTATTATGTTATACTGATGGCTGGAAATGTATTTCCTCGTGTCTAGATAGTCACTTAATCTAAAAACATAAGTATAAAAATATATAACATACATGCGGAAGTTGTATTATTGTGACGAAATTGAATTACTATCGATTCGTGTCGAACCGTATAATAGTATAGTGTACCTACATTAAACACATCATATTAATTTTTATGGATTTTGTAGGTACTATTTTATTGCATAATACTCAATAATAGTATAATAAGTACAGTTATAACAGAGCTTATAACAATTCTTATATAACGCAGATAAGGTAGGTACTATAGGTCTGTACGTGTATTTGTATAAAATATAATGCATCTAGGTACTCGCCGTCATTGCAGTAAAGTTAAAATTAATATTATTTTATTCACTAGCAGATGAATAAATTAATTATAATTAACAGCGGCGGTATGCACTCGCTTTCCAAGTTAGTTTTTAGGATTATGAAAATAAACTGTATGAATTTTTATATTACCATTTGTATATAAAAAAAAAAATACCTATTTTTTTTACTATTTTATTTTGTGCGATTTTTTTAGGTTTTTAATCTGGAGAGAATCTGTTCATAAAAAAAAAAAAACCATTCAACGTACAAATAATAACAAATATCAAACTAATATATTTTTTTTTAATAAATAAATAAGCATACACAATTTGGACAAGCAGTGTAGTGCTCCATAACACTTGCAGGGCACCACCCTTTGTTATACCACACAATACACTCATTTAAGTTTTAAGCGATTCGTGTAAACACTACATTGGTTCGATATTCGATGTATGCTATACATTTTGAAAGTCTTAGAAAAGTGTATTATCTGGTCCCAGTTATTACAAATTCAAAATAATTATATAGAAGTTTAAAATAGTAAAGATATACACAATAGAAGTGGAAATGGTCTTTGGAAAAAATAAAAAAATATAGGTTAGTGTAAAAGGTATATTTCATATTCGCGCGGTGGTGGAGAGGACGTAACACTGGCATTTGTTGTCCTTGTCTTAAAGTGCGTAACATAGCAAATTTACACACAGAATAGATCACGTTTAGCTTCATTTGTTTAAAAATTAGAATGAATCGACATACGACTTATTAAGAAACTTGATGGTAAGTACATTATCCGTATTTGTTTGTAAGTGGGTTTTAATACGACAAATCAGTTTTTAAGTGCATTTTTAATTTACTTAATATTATACACGCGTAACTTGCTAAAATGTTGAACTATTCCTATCGTAAAAAAATCCTCGTACAAACAGATAAAATGTTATTGTACCATCAGGTTTCATAATGGGTCGTTCACTCTAATTTTTAAGCTATAACGAAGCAAAACGTGATCTGCTGATCTCAAATTCGGTATGTTACGTACTTGTAAGACTGAGCCAGCAAATGCCAGTGTTACGTCATTTAAACATAATATAATATTTTGTTGCAGCGGACCGGGGGAATGCATCATGAGTGCAGTACGCGCATTCGAAGGCCGCGGCGCCGGAGGTGGTGCAGTATTGTCGCAGTGGCTCGTCGGTGTCGTGTCAACAGTGCTTACAGTGGTCGGATTGGAAAAAGTACTTCAAGCTCTTGAAGTACAGCGAATTGACCCCTACGAAGATCTTGTCCCATTTGCCCAGCGACGCCCTCCGCGGGTACGTCGGACTGGCCTCCACCGCACAGGCCACGCCCCGGTAGATGTCGGTGGCCACCAGCACGGGCCCGCGCACCTCGTACGGGAGGTACCGGATACCCTCCAGCGATTCCAGCTGGTACCGGTTGGCCAGCCTGATCATGCGCGTGGCGTACGATTTCAGCTTGTCGGAGCCGAGGGTCCACGGATCCCTGTCGCTGCACAGGGTGTTTACATCCGCGGCCACGTCGTCCATGTACTCGGAGGGAACGTAGCACCGGCCTAGCGTTTCGCTGTCGGTAACGATGTCCCGGGAGATGTTGACGATCTGTAGCACCTGCAGCATATACATAAGAATAGAAGATAGAGAAGCTCTCGCATAGGAGTAAATTTGGTTAAAAATGAGCGAGGGAGGTTGGAAATATCAATTAACACGTATTAACATAATTTATTATATTAACGAGGTTAAGTACTCCTTTGGGTAGGGATTAAAATGGGGGGTAGGGGTGAAGGGTTACTTAGTTAACATCAGGTTAAGAAAACCTAAGCTCCTCCCACAATTCACGTCTATCATTATGTCAAGAAAAATTTTCCAAAAAATTGAATGCTCGGAAATTGGAATACTCGAGCGTTGGGACTTATATATAACTTATAACTTATAACTTATAAACAATGTAGTATTGCAGAATCATATTGTATATATAGTGGGATACAAATAGGTATGAATACATTGTGTTAATTGATCGAACAATCAGCCAAAACGCACATCACTCATACTTTATACTTTTTCTTTTAGATTTCAATTTATGTAAATTATGATTTCTAGCTTATTGTCTTCTATAAATTGAGAGCAAATAAAAAATATGAAAATCCTACAACTTTTGAGCCTAGCATATTATAAATAGGGTGATTCATCAAGCATGCTCACCTCCTTTTTTCCTACAAATCTAATTAAAATTAGAACACCCCTTCCCTTTTCTACTGTAAATTCATAAGCAGATAATTTTTCTTCAAATATTGACGTAGGTGACAGAATTAAAATTCGAATGAGTAGTGTTTGAGTTATTTAACTTTATTAATTACTAATATTACATATATTTTATATATTTGTAAAACAATTTTCAAGGACAATTATTCTTATTGTAAACATTTTGATAACAGAGAAACTACTCTTTTGAATCTTGAATTAGGATATTAGGTAGGTACGTCGACATTTTCAAAAAAATAATCTGTTAAATAATGTGCAGTCAAAAGGGGGGTTCTTATTTGGAAAACAGAAGTTTGTCCATTACATGACACTTCTTAAGTAGTACAAATATAAATCTCAAGAATTTGAAAATATGGTCCTTAAGTAAGTATATTTTAAAATTCAAAAAATCAGAACTTAAATAAGTTCATTATTACACAATCATGGTTTTGAGCATGCTTGGAGAATCATCATGTACAATATATCTTAGATAGATTATATGAAAATACATAATATCTGCCACGTCTCACCTGTCCCATCTGTTGCGCTTTTTCGATAACGAAATCGTGCCTTTTATCGTCGTTGATCTGTGTACCACTTTTGTATACCATCACGTACACGCACAGCGTCCCCACGCTACCGGCCACGTAACTCGAGTATAACAGTAGGTCAGTCTCGTTCTGGACCGTTTTTCCGTCCACGTCCCACCGGTAGCCGTCGAGCAGTTCGTAGAAAGGTTTCCGGGGCAAGTAAAACGATATCCGCGATATGGCCCGGAAGCACGACAGCTCCTCGTCGGTCAGATCTAGGCGGTACTGTTCCCAGTTCACCTCTGGTTTCCGCGGAGTTATCGACGTCTTCACGTCGTAGTCCGAGCTTCTATCCGCAAACAGTTCGTCGATGAACGTTTCAATCAGCTTTAGTTTCTGCTTCTTGACGCCAACCTTCGGCTCGCTGTCGATCATGTCATCCGTCACCCGACAAAACGCGTATAGTATAATCAAATGCAAACGGATTCCTGCAAGAAAGACAAAAATGTACATCCGCGGGATCATCTGAATTGTTATTTATGGAGGGTCACTTTGGGAATACAGAAAGTTTTTTGGGGCCCTCAGAATTGAATGTACCTACCTATACATTATTATCCCAAGAAAGTACAGGTAAAATCAAAAATGAAAATAAAAATGAAAATGAATGAAAACCTCCTTGAATTCCTCACCAAAAATAATAATTAAAAAAATTTTTACTCTGCAGACCAGATAAATTTTTTTGCAGGGGCCGTCACTTGGTTATCACTAGTGTACACTAAACAGTATTCAAAAATTTTTAAAGAGGATATACCATATTAGGTAAATACGCACGTATCTGATTCCATGGATATAATATTACCTATATAAGCGTATTATGTATTTCAGTGAACGCAACATACCTATTAGAAAATTTTTTTATCTACCATTCAAAATGAACCAGCTAGTAAAGTGATATGAAGACATAATTGTAATACATATACAATTACAACATACATTCCTCATAATGATATAGTACATCATATTCATGTGGGATACAATTCACATCACATATTTCTAGATCAGCTCTTGCAGTTTTGATATAGCAATACTTTTGGAGCGATTCGAAGTGAAATTTATAACTATATAAATAATATATATAGTAATATATATATATATATATAATATATATATATATATATATATATATATATAATATATATATATATATACTTTGGATATCGGGATATGTATAAACATAATAATAACTCTAGGACTTAAAACAAAAAAATCCCACCGTTAGATCATCTTCTATATAAATATTTATATGTATACACTATACAGTATAATAGATACTTTACCTGCTGGAAAAACGAGACTGGCCACGTTGAACGATTTTGAAGCTCTTTTAAGTACGTTTAAACACTGTCTGATGTCGCTGACTGGACTCGGCGACATGTCGCATTCGGCCCTCACGAATTGTTGCATTTGCTGACTATAGTAGTTCCAACTTGAGCTGGAACAGAGTGAAAATTCGAACGTATATGTGTCCGCAAGCCCGTAGGACTTGTCGAAAGCCATGCTGCCCAAGACGATTATCATGTTGGTGATCAGGAAAAACAGACATTCCTCGAACGGTAAATCATCGACGACGAATATGTTCAACGAGGTTTTCTCGTTTATGTGCCATACGTCGTCTTTGAGCGCTATGCGATCGACCCAACAGAGGTACAAAGTGGGAACAATAACTGCGATCGCTGACGAGGTTGACTTTTTAACAAAGTAATTACCGGCACCGTACCATAGGAACATTATGACGGGGCACGACCACCACATGATGCAGCCCAAATAGAACGTGTTTTTACCCGGTACAGCTATGTTGTAGCCCTGAATTGTTGTCATAGCTAAGACTAATATCGGTATCCATCGGATCAGTGTGTAGCTTGTCTTATTGAAATTGAAATTGAAACAAGCCGGAGACCACCTGGTAAGAATCAAGGCCCACAGTGATGTCATAAGGGTTTGTATGACGAAAAACATGTACTCTTCAACGGGCACATATCCTATGACGGCTAAAATGTTTTTGGGCTTGTACATCCAGGCGTTGTTGAAGATTATATAATTGTCCCATGGTGTTGTGTACACAAACGCCATCGTACAGACGAATCCGATTTTAAACAGTTCAAAGCGACTTATAAACGGCCATGTTATCAACGCTAATACTGCAACGACCGGTAGTGTGTAAATAAAATGTACGTCTATGTAAGTCAACATTTTCAGTATAGGTGTTTTGTGAAACTGAAAAATGTATAAAAAAATTGTTAGTTATAATATCAATTAACATATTGTGTATACATATAAGAATGAACTAATGAAGAGTGTAAAAATTACTTTAAAATATAATATAAGTAGGTACGTTCTAAGGTTGAATTATTATTACTTATGTTACAAAATCGTCAATTGCTGAAGTCAACATCAAAATATAATATTATTTTTAGAAAAAATGCTATATATCTATAATACAATTTCTATAAATTGGATAACTTAATTTGTACACTTGATAAATATGGAAGATTTTTAATGTATTATGTGTTTTGTGTCAATTTTATATTCAAGATAGGTATAACTAATTCATACATAAGTCACTCTAATGAGTAATGGATGTGTTACATTTAAATTCATTGATAAATCATAACTACAAAAAAGAGTAAATAATCAGATACTGTAGTCTGCGCAATTAAGGCTACATTTCTTAGGAAATTTTGTTTTATAATTATATAGCTGTATTACTCGACTTCTCCATGCAAAATTATCATTATAATCGATGTATCAAAAACTAAATTTTAGATGCCCATAAATAGCTTAAAATCTGTCTACATTTATTGAAAATATCATTGTAATAATTTAAGTAATGGTAAAATGTTTCAAGTTTCTATGATTAATATTTTTTGAATGATACCAAAATACATTAGAAATTAGAAAATTATCCAGTGTCGTCTACATTTGAACACACTTAAAAAATTAATATGATTTAATGCCAAACGTTTTTTTATACTTTGGTAACAAAAACTTCCGGTTTTAGTGCATCTAAGCCTGTGTTCTAGACTAATTATATATAAATTACCTACTGAACGTGAGTGGGGTAACACATTTCCTTTATCATATCTAGATTTTATGTTACATAATATGAAACAAAACATATAATATAGTGGCGGTACCTATTACAAGTTATAACGGTATCATAAATCATAATATCATCTTACATAATAGTATATCATTTTAATATTAATTTATAAATAATTATTCAACCTTCGATGTTTTCTTAAACCTTTAACCTTATTCACTAAAATGTATTAGTATTTAGTGTTAACTATAAAATCATGTTGCACACATAGAAACAATAATAATTGCATAATATTCACATTGGTACAATTTATATACATTATAATTACACAATTTAGGTTCTAAGTGCTGGATTCTAAGTGCTTTACAATGCTGTATTTTGTATGTTAAATGTTAATATATACATGATAAGTAGGTAGCTTGTCGAAATAACTCTATGATTTTAAACTTTGAGTTTGGTTTGTGATATCAAAATATTGGATCTAATTGGTACTTTTGAGAGGTAAAAATATAAAATTCCTAAAAGTCGTCGAGAAAAAAAGGTTGGCCATTGGGTACGACTCTTGGATGTGCTAAATTTGAATTCAATTATATAATATAATTTTATACAAACAACGATTCTGCAGAGTGAAGACGGTGTATCAGCCAATATTAATAAGTTAATTTTATGATATTAATGCTTTTGGTAATTTGTTTTCCTATTATAATTATTAATTATACAGTAGGTAAATCTTTTAGATTTTTGGTTAGAGTAACATATTTAAATTTTAAACAAGATTTACACGTTATAGTTACCTAATCAATAATAGTTACCTCGTGTACACTATTGACACCTAACATACAGCAGAGCGACTTCCCCGGCTCTTTTATTTAACTCATGTAAAAAATAAAATATTTAAAATATTTTGAAATTATCAAAATAATATATTCTACTTTGGAATATGAAAAATTCGAAAAATGTCTCAAGGCTACAAATAGTTCAAAGAGATATTGATTATAAATATACTTGTTTTTGAGTGAAAATGAAAATTTTTTTTACAAAAGTGGAAGTCATAAAAACCAACATTTTTGAAAAAAATAAATATTGATAATAACTTTTTTTATCGTTTTAGATTCTGAGCATAACGATAAAAGTATTGTATTTACAATGATGTGTTTCTTTTTATTCATAAAAATTTGTGGTAGTAAAAATGCTCCAATTTTTGAAATCAGCATATTTTCTGATAGAAAAGTGAATCTAGTTGGTGCATTGAGGAGTTCAAAATTCCTAGAAATTTTTAAAAGTGTCAATAAAATAAAAAAAAAAAAAAAAATGAAGAAATAATTTTTACGCAAAACCAATTTTTGAAAAAAAATTTTTTTGATTATTTTTTGATTAAAAAAAATTTAAAAATTTCTAGGAATTTTGAACTCCTCAATGCACCAACTAGATTCAATTTTCTATCAGAAAATATGCTGATTTCAAAAATTGGAGCATTTTTACTACCACAAATTTTTATGAATAAAAAGAAACGCATCATTGTAAATACAATACTTTTATCGCAATGCTCAGAATCTAAAACGATAAAAAAAGTTATTATCAATATTTATTTTTTCCAAAAATGTTGGTTTTTATGACTTCCCCTTTTGTAAAAAAAATTTTCATTTTTGATAAAATAGGTATTTACCTTTAAAAGAATCCTGTTAAATAGTAATTATATGCGTGAAGTTCTATTAATATTTGTCCACTATACTAGATTAGAACGTCTCATATCATAATGTATAGAAATTATCTCGAATAATTGAATAAATAATTATATATTATTATTGTTAATGTCTGTTATGTAATTTTATTATATTTTAAAATCCAATCTACTATAATCTATATAAAATATACTTGGTAATTATTACTAATTAGTTTCAGAAATGTTTTTCTTCAATGACTATTGATCAAAGACCTTTGGAACTTATTATAGTTTATGGCGTTTATATGCATGACTTATTGTAAAGGTATTTGACGTTTTATGGGCTATTTTCCTCTTTTAATAGGTTTTTATTTTGTTTTTGGAATATACATCAATTAATTATAATTTACAACATCATTAATAATTTTAACATACAATTTCAAAGTTATGATAAATATAAGCAATAGTAAATTACTCTCGTGAATCAAATGAATAATTTTCAATAGTATGCCATGTTATTTTATTAATTATATATAATTATCCATTATTGATCAGATGGGTCCAGGGTCCGGGTTCGTATAATAATACAATAATTCATTATTCACGGAAAAAAACTTCCAATTACATAAAATAAAATATATTGACAATGGTTTACAATGGACATAATAAATACAAAAAATCTAACAAGTAATGTTGTAATATTAATAGGTTTATAGAAATAAGAAACAACGAAAAATAATATATAAATAGTAAATAGCTAGTAGACTTAAAAATATAAAAATATAATATGATATGAATAACATAATTAATTAATGGGGTGATAAGTATAGGTAAGTGGCTCGGCGCTGCGCAGTGGCTGAAATCAATCATGCGACGTGATATAGAGTAAGCAACGGCCTCTGCCAATAGTTTCTCGTTGGGTGACCACCAGGCTTCGTAGTACGCAAAAACCTTGCTACACATACACGTGTTCCTAGCCGACCGTACCAACCTACCAACCTTACAGTCTTAATGACCTCAGTAGTACAGAATTTTATGGGCTGACTCGTCTCAAATATCTTTACCCATACGTTGATTAAAACGTAGGTTGAGCCTAAAGATGTTAATACATTATTACGTCTCAAATTTGAGTTGTAATGTGTAATCAAATAATAACGAATTTTTGTTTAAAGGAAATGAAATAAAGCACAATTCATCAATATTCAAATTTCAAAGACATATCGTTCTCATTACACCATTGATAAAATCTGTTGAAGTCACATTAATGTAAATACCTTTGATTCTAAAACATGAATAAAAAACACAAAAATACTTTAAAAAAAATTTTCCTTACCTAATAAAACCAATAGATTTCTCGCTGAGCTCAGAATCACAACAGTAAAACTCAGTTTATCGCAACTTCACATAATTACTATTGATTCGTAGTTAATATAATTCAAAAACAAAAAAAATGGATGGATAAGTAAATACACCGACAGAATTTATTTATGCAATCGTTTAAAAATTAGTGTTCATTATAATTTATAGGCATACCTATTTACCTATTTAATACATTCCTGATACATTTTAATAGGTACATTATATAACCCAGGTGGGAAGGTCACTCGATTATATAAGTATCATGTTTTGCTTAGTTTTTATTTGTTTTTTTTCGTTTATTTAAAAGTACCTAGGTATTTGGAATTTTCAATTTTTACCTCCAAAAATTATCAACTAACTAGTTTTTTTTTACCAGAAAATATACTGAAGTTAAATTCGAAGTATTTTACTGCTCCAAAAGCCAAAAAGCGATGAGAGACTAATATAGGTAATCATCGCTCCGCTGAATCAATAGTTGTCGAATTTTTTCAGTAGTCAATTGGGAATATTCTATCAAATACACCTAGTTTATTTAATAATTATTTTCACTGTGCATAGTTATTTCAATTATAATTAATTTTAAATTAATTATACTATATTAGATGCCTATATTGGAATTTCAAAGTATAGAAAAAAATATATGGAAAGTAAGAAATAATATTATGTAATATGTTATTATGCAGCAATGACGTAAAGAGTAATAACTAATAAACGAAAAAATTCGACTTTTTAGTTTCTTACCAATAAAATATTCCAGTGTATATACTTAAATAATTATATTGTATAACATTTAAGTAATAGCTTATGGAAAACAATACAGAGAAAAATAAAATAAATGTACACAATTATATGGCATAAAGATAATGATACAAAATGCTTAAAAATTGTTTGGTATTGAAAATTGTGTATACAAACAATGGAACTTATAAATTAGTAATTTTTTTTTAGGTTTTAAGGCTTCGACGAGTGAGGTCATTAGCCTGGTAGGGATGGTACAGTTGGGTTGGGATGGTTGGGACGGTTGGGACGGTAGGTTAGGAACACTTGTGTATGTGGCAAGGTTTTGCGCCACTACGAACCCGGGTGGTCACCCATCCGAGACTAGGGGCAGCGACCGTTGTTTACTCC